AATTAATAGACTTTAATACTTCTGTTTTGTTTAATCGTGAGGGTAATATAGCAACTAATACTCCTGTTAATTTTCGATATTTAAATAAAACTTTAATGGCTCCAGAGATACAAGATGATGACATCACAAGTGTAAGTGTTAAATTAAACTTTTTGTATAAAAACATTACTTAATAAGTTTTTTCGAGAGCTAATTATTAAAATTTTTTAGGTAACCAAAAAGTCAGATGTTTGGTCTTTTGGTTTGATGGGATTTCAACTTTTTAATTTTAAATATTTCAGTAAATTTTTAAATTAATTTTTAAATTAAATTAAGATTAATTTTAAATTAATTTGACAATAATCTATTAAGTAAATTTTTCAGTCAATGTTTCATTGAAATAATATGGCAGCGAATATAAATTATAGATTGAGATAAGACAAGCAATTATTTGACATAGGAAAATCAAATGATTAAATTTGTTGGATTACGGTAAAATAAGATAGATTTACCAAAACTCCGCGCTTCGTGCGAGGTTCTGCGGCACGCGCTTTGTGAAAGTCAACGGTCGCTGTTCTATAACAGTAACTTAAACCTTTTTCCACATAAATCCTTTTCCATTTTCAGCCTTGATTTTATTAAATAATACGTTAAAAATGAATAGGACTATTTAGCAAAAGTTTTCAGAGGGGCTTTATAGCGGACTAACACAAAAATTGACATGTTCTAATGATTTACTTTATATAAAAGCCATAAAAAGCCATAAAAATTTGATTTCTATTGAATTTTGATTTCTATTGAAATTTATTGAAGCTTTTGAATATAATCCTAAACTCTTTCAGAAAAGACCAAACATTAAAATTATTTCACTTAAAAATAAAAGGTTGACGTTAAACTCCGTCCGATTTAGATGACGTTGGTATGTCCGATTGAGTTTATTATGTAAAAGTTCCTCCTCTCATTAACCAAAAATTTAATATTTCATTTAACCATAAATAATTTAGCGGATAAAGAAAAATTTGTTGATGTTATGAAATTTATTAATGATTATCTCAACAAATACGATGAATATATATCAATAACAGATACGCGCTTGGATCAACTTATAAAGGTAATTATGCTTTCTATGAGTGAGCCACTAGAAATTAAATGTCCAGCATAGTGCTTAAGTATCGTAATTTCATTTTCTTTCAAATCCTTTAAATCATTATAAAATCCCGACCTATTTAATTTTAATAAAAACACAGCAAAATACCATTATTTTTTACAAAATCTGATACTGAGTTTTTTTCATTATTCTCAAATCACAATAATAATGAGAAGATTAAATATAAACAGATTAGCAAAATGATTGAATTTTAGTAAATAATCACAAAAATTTCAGGCGTGCCTCCAAGTTGATCCAAATCACCGACCAGCAATGAATGCTATTGTTAGTTTTCTGAAAAACGAATGCGACTATTTTCATTACGAACGTCGGCGTGCTAGAAGTAGTCAAGCAACACGACCGTGCGCAGATTGATTATACTGAGAAAGATTTGAAGAAAATCTTGCGTTATCCGGGGTTTTATTTCCTATTTAGGTATATTGAAATCTATAGACGTTAAAGATTCTTGGTTGTCATGACGGTGTCAGGAAAATTGGGCTCTGGAAAATTGGGCTCCAAGATTTTTCGGAAAATTGGGCTCCAACTTTTCGGAAAATTGGGCTCCAGCAGAAATTTGGGCTCTTCGTGAAAAAAGTGGAAAATTGGGCTCTAAAATTTTGGGCTCCTGAGGAATTTTGGGCTCTAAGAAGAAATGTCAAATTATGCAAAAAAGAGAGATGTTCATAGGACAAAGATGATTTTTCTGAGTAAGAAATATAAATTAGGCAAAAGAGAGAGATGTGTATAGGACAAAGATTATTTTTCATAAGTGAAGCCCTAAAAAAGAGATCATAAGAGGAAGCCCTAACGTAATAAAAATATAATGTTTTGGCTCTGAATTTGAAACGCAGATTTAAATAAGCTGGAGTTGAAGCTGTGTCCGATCAATTCCTCAGTGGATATTGAAGATATCCCTTTAATATATCTTATTATCCCTCTTAATATACCTCTATATACCCTGGGCGTATACTCCGTTAATCTAAAGGGATTAATGGGGATATTCCTAGTCCACTTTAGAATACCACTTGACATGCCGACTAAAATTTTCAATTCATTGTGCTGAGGATTAAAAGATATCTAGAGGGATTAGTGATATTAATGGAGATTTGGCAAAATTAAGGTGTTATTGTGGTATTGGCGAGATTAAGGGGATATTGTGGTATTGAGGCGATTAAGGAGATATCGGGGTATTTTGTGTATATTTGGACTTGATGGATTAAGTGAATATAGGTGGTTTTGATCGGCGATATAGAAGGGATATAGAAAATATCTCAAGGGATATAGAAGATATCTCTTTTATCCCTCTTAATATTCCTCTTGTTCCGATATCTAAAGTGGTGTACTCCAAAGTAAATATGGATATATCGAAGGATTTTAATAGGATATCGGAGGATTAAAGCGGATATATGTTGATTTAAGGGGATAGTTATTACATTAAGTTATTACATTAAACTTTTTTCCGATAAAGCTGTTATTTTGAAATATTATACATATATCAAATATCTATTTTTAAGTTCATTTACTATTTTTCCTAGTGATTTACTTTTAGAAAAATCATCTTTGTCCTATGAACATCTCTCTTTTTTGCATAATTTGACATTTCTTCTTAGAGCCCAAAATTCCTCTGGAGCCCAAAATTTTAGAGCCCAATTTTCCACTTTTTTCACGAAGAGCCCAAATTTCTGCTGGAGCCCAATTTTCCGAAAAGTTGGAGCCCAATTTTCCAAAAAATCTTGGAGCCCAATTTTCCAGAGCCCAATTTTCCTGACACCGTCATAGGAATTTTCTTTCATATCTTTGACATTAGTTAAGGGTTTCGCCTTTTCCTCTAGATAGAATAAAATGAAGAATTCTTCCTAAAACTGACAACAATAGTAATACCAAAAATTTGATTTGTAATGCTGTTTCGTTAATTTTGAATTTTAGGACTTCGCCTCATCAAGTAGTAAAATATTCCAACTAAGGAAAATCAAATTTCGTCCTTTAAATGAAATTTTCTTTCGATTCCTGGGTTTTTTCTGTCTTTAACGTTTCTATTAACCTAAAACATATTATTTAAAATATACACAAAGTTGTAATTCTCTTCGACTATTTTTAAAAATTATTTGAAATTCACAATGGGTTAAATGTTTTTTATTATTTGGCGACTTTAGTTAGTACTTTTTGTTTTGAATTGTTATTTTGGTACTTCATGTGTATACCGCTTTCCTTTTTTTAGTAGGAGTTAATCCTTCTTAAATTTCACTCCAGTTCCCCATGCTATATTCAAATGAGATACATTACAAAGATACGATTAATTTTTGCATTCCTGTATGTCAGGTGTTATAGACTCTATGCCTATAACTTAACAAACTAGCTTTTTAAAATCTGTGATCCGGTATTAATTCATGGGCCTTTGTCTAGTGTGTCAAATAATTTGAAAAAAGGTAAAAACTAAAATGTTAATTTGTATCTGGTGAGATTAAAAAAATAATCTTCTAATGGAGTGAAATTGAAGAAGGGTGAAAGTTTGACCATCGCGTACATTTTAAACACTGATATTCAAACTTGAGGGGCGGTATAAGCAAAAAGTACTGCCTGCATCTATTAAATTCACATTTTATTTTTCATTTGTGGTGCAAGTTTTTATTCCAATTTTACACCGACATACTACCTGGACAATACTCCAATATTATACTATTTATTGCTACACAACTAACTTAAATTTTCCTTATCAATGTTTCCAAAAATTTTTTATAACAATTACGATCACTTTAAAAAACTATCCAAAAATTATTGAAAAAAAAATTTAAATGTTGTGAAGCAATTGGATATAATTTGAGCTAAAATATTATTTTCATATCATTTTTAATTTCGAAACAATTTCTACTATGTAATCATACTGAAGCGAATTAACAATTTCAGGCGAATATTTGCTAGCCATAGCCATTGCCCGATCATAACGTTCTTTTAACAATTTAATTTGTTGTGCTCTACCTTTAGACAATTTTTTAGCATTTTCAAATTTTTCATTCAATTCAGTCTTCTCTGCAAGCAATTTTGCTTGCTCTACTTCCAATCCTTGTGCCAGCACACTTGTTGAAGTAAACGTTCATTTAATTCGTCAAACGATTTTTTAATTTGTAAATAACGATTTTGAACTTCCCTTAAAGAATTTAATTGAGTCAACAATTCTTTTTCTACACCAATTTTTGCATTAACTTCAACTTCATTGGTTAATTTAGCAATTTCTGATTCCAATTGTAAAATCTTTTGTTGATCAACGGTAGATTTGGCACGGATTCGTTGCAATTCTAATTCAGCAGACATACGCAATTCTGTCTCTTTTTGCTTATCTGTCCGCATATAACAAATAATTGCATTTATACGTTCGGTATGTTGTTGAGTTGAAGCCTCGATTCCGGTAGTTGAAAGACGTCTAGAAAAATTTAAAAACAAAATTAATCCCAAAAAATCAGAAAAAAATATACGATATTGGTGAGAATGTTGACATTGTTGCAGAAACGTTTGGAGATGGGGAAGCAATAGTGTGCTGCAAACGTTCCATAAATTCAATCCGGTTTAAAAGCGCTTGAATTTCATCATAAAGAGACGTCTGCTTTTCCAAATGTTCCTTGTCTCTTGTCATATAAGTGTTAATTTTATCTTGAAGACGAAGCTTCTCTTGTTCAAAAATATCCTGAAAAAAGTAAAAATAAAATTCCAAAATTTAAAAAAAAACATACAATCGATTTTTGGAATTTTTCACATTTATCTTGACATTCCTTCTCTGAAGTGGCAATCTGTTGAGTCATCTTCTCACTCTTGGAGACTTCTTTAGCCAAATCACTAGTCAATCTCAAATTATTTTCGAGTAATTCACCACAAGTAGAATTCACCTTTAAAAAGAAAATTTAAATTTAAAAATTTAAATCTAACCTTTTGAAAATAGCCTTGAAGTTTTTCGTTCTCAAGGGAAGTTGATCAATAACACGTTTATATTCGTGTGTTTCTTTGTCTTTCTCGACTATCCGCTGCTCAGTTTTTGCATTTAATTCGACAACTTTGTTGTTGTTGGTTTCGGTCAAGTTTTTCGTCTGGCTAAGCAATTCCATCTCCTTTATTGAAACAGCATTTTTCAAATCTTCAGTTAATAATTTACTTAAAAAGAGGAATTAAACACATTAAATCGAAACTTTAAAAAATATACTTTTTATTCATTTCCTCCTCAAGTTGTTCCTCACAATTTTTTAATTTTAACATGAGCGTCACATTGCTCCTGTTCACAGAATTTGTGGTTTGCCGGAGTCGTTTGAATTTTCTTTTATACTAGAGAAAATTCAAGCTTTTAAAATTATTACAAAAAAACCTTAATTGATTTTTTGACAGCTTCAGCTTCCTCCATCTTGACAACTTCAGCTACATCCATCTTGACAACTTCAGCTTCCTCCATCTTTCTTTTCTTATTTTTAACAGGTCGTTGAATTTCTCGATCAGCCTCTTCCAAACCAATTTTCTTAAAAAATAAAAAATTTTCAGAATATTAAAAAAATTTTACGTGTATGGTTTTTAAGTGCCTATTTCTGTTGAATTTTGTCGAAAAATTTTTATTACACTCTGAGCAATTAAACATTTTGTCCCAATCGGAGTCTGTTTAGTATTCCGAAATTATACCAAAATGTTTAACTAAAAATTAAAAATTAAAAAAATTTTTTTAAATAATTGACAAAAGTAGAAATAGTTAATGAGCTTAAAAATTCAATAAAATTACAGTATTATCGCGTTAATAAAAAGGTCATCTGAGTACTAATCCTCCCCAACCCTTCTCCCTCCTCTCATCCTAAATTTTAACCAAAGAAGAGAGAAAAGGAGAGAGAAGAGGTGGGGGAGGAGTGGGAAGAGAAGAAAAGGAGCAGGATGATGTCGCGGCATTGATTTTCTCTCACTCCTATAGGTAGCGGCTTTTGAGAGGGAGGTCAGTTTTTACCGCACTAACGTGCGCTGAAGGTTTGAGCTTTGACCAGCCGCTCAAAAGGATTTGACCTTAAGTCAAAACTAATCAAAAGGATTTGACTTTAAAGTCAAAACTAATCAAAAGGATTTGACTTTAAAGTCAAAAAGTCGGCCACGACACCGGCGTACCTATGACTACTACCCACCTCCGCAAGAACATGGGCAACCGCATTATGAGACTCAGCAAATTGAGCATGGGCATTTTGTAGAACGTGATGAAAGTCCTCCTCACCGTCACAGCAAATTTTCTTGTTTTGGCTGTTAAATTTGCTGTACTTTAGAGTTGCCCCAGACCTAGTTCACGAAACACCGAGACAAAAGCCTGAATCGAGCATGTTTTAGTCTTTTAACCAAAACCCGTTTCAAAACAAAATGAAAATCGTACGACATATCAGCTCAATTCTCTCTGGATGCAATTCTCTCGGGATCCTCATTTTTTCATTTTTTAAATACCTTATTTCCTCTAAAATAAGCCCCGGGGCTTATTTTTTTCAATCGACCTCCAGAGGGGGCTTATTTTAGAGGGGGGGGGGCTTATTTAGGAGAGGGGCTTATTTTTTCCGATATCTAAATTTTTCGAAAAGTAAAATTTATTACAAACATAGAAAAAAATTTCTAAAATTATCTATGGTATAAACCAGAACATGGCTTACACCTAAACTTGTAAAATTATTATTTAATCTTTGAGTTATTTTTGGTCTTTTATTGATTAATTACCAGACTAAGGAAGAATATTAATTTTGAATATTTTTCATTAAAGTTTTTCCAGTTTTTCTCATAAAATTTTCTTATTGTCAATTTTTTCATTTAAATGTAACAAAAATGGGTACTATTGATTTATCTACCCCATCGTCCGCAAATGTTTGTCCGCAAAAGTGTATTTCCTTTTCCTTCATTTCTTATTCCCTCATAATGATTATAAAATATCCAAGTACTAATCTAATTTGAATAAATCAGTCTCATAAAAAGAGTCATTTCTAAATTTCTCTATTGAATTTAGTTTCAGATTAATGATCAGTAAATGTACTTTCAGATCAAAGCTAAATTTAATAAGGAAATTAAAAAACAACTACTTTGTTATGCAGACTGCCTTATTCAAAATAAATTCATTCTTGAACATTTTTTAATCATTATGAGGGGAGAAGGAATGAAGGGGAAAGCAAGCAAAATTTTGCGGACAAATATTTGCCGACGATGTGTGAGATAATGCGAAAGTACCAAAAAATATTTCAAAAAAGGGTGCCGGAATTTTGGTCACTGGAATTTTGGTCACCAATTTTTTTGGAATTTTGGTCACCAAGTCAAAAAACGGAATATTGGGCACTGAAATTTAGGTAACCAAGAGGAATTTTGGTCACCAGACTTGAAAAACAAATCTTATCTAAAACTGATATCAACGTGATAAAAAATTGTTTTCAACTACCTGATGAACATTTTCAATCTTGATCACTCTCCTAGTTAATCAATCTTCCGGAAGAGTGATTGAGAGTGATCAACCGAGAGAGTGATCAGCCGGGAGAGTGATAAAAATTGAAATTGATCAACTGGGGGTTGAATAACTATTTTTAATCAGTTTGATTTCAGTTTTAGATAAGATTTGTTTTTCTCGTTTGGTGACCAAAATTCCTCTTGGTGACCAAAATTTCAGTGCTCAATATTCCGTTTTTTGACTTGGTGACCAAAATTCCGCTGGTGACCAAAATTCCAAAAAGATTGGTGACCAAAGTTCCGAAAAAACTTGGTGACCAAAATTCCGGTGACCAGAATTCCGTACACCTTCAAAAAATATCCGTAAACCTCTTCAATTATTGTCTTTATTATTTTAACATTTATAGATAACAATTATTTACACCACCGTATATGCTCAAATAATTACCTCTTCAACTAATTTCCCCGCATCGATTATTTAAAACAAAAATTACCCACGATAATTATTTGAGCATATTCGATATATAACGTTTTTATTTTTTAAATTTCCATAAATTCTTTGTTAAAAAACTTTTTTTTATTATTTACCTGTGATTTTACAATTTTATTTTTAAACATTTCATATTGGTAGTATTTTGGATAAATTAGTTTTTTGCTTCTATTAATTAATTTTGTATTAAAAAATGGAATTTTTCAGAAAAATATTGAATCTTAATATATTTAACCAAATTAGTTATGTTAAAATTAAAAGAATTGTTAAAATTTAAAAAAATAATTATTATCGTTTCTATAATATCCAATTGAAGGAATCTTCTCGGATTTATAGGTTTTTAATAATTTACATATAAATGATAAAAATGTGTTTAAACATAAAATTTGATTGGACGCTTAAATTTTATTGTACGCATTTTTGTTTTTTATTGGATGCATTTGCCCTATTTTTGACCGCATTAATTTTGCCAATTGTTTAAGTAGTTGCTCCCTATTTTACTATTTAGGAAGTGATTCCCTGGTGAATCATGAAATATTAAAATACATAAAATATTAAAATATACTTCCCAGGATGAGTTTATGCAAGTTATGTGATAAATTTTTACATAGTAGAAATAGTTACGAAATTAAAAATAATATGAAAATAATATTTTAGTTCAAATTATATTCAATTGCTACATACACAACATTTAAAAATTTTTTTCAATAATTTTTGGATAGTTTTTTTAAAGTGATCGTAATTTTTATAAAAAAATTTTTGGATACATTGGTAAGGAAAATTCAACTTAGTTGTGTAGCAAGAGTATAATAACGGAGTATAGTCCAGGTAGTATGTCGGTGTAAAATTAGAATAAAAATTTGCCCACAAAAATAAAATAAAACGTGAATTTAGTAGATGCAGACAGTACTTTTGTTTATACCGCCCCTCAAGTTTGAATATCAGTGTTTAAAATGTACGCGATGGTCAAACTTTCAACCTTCTTCAATTTCACTCCATTAGAAGATTATTTTTTTAATCTCATCACATACAAAGTAACATTTTGGTTTTTACCTTTTTCATTAACTTAACATACTAGACACAGGCCTATGAATTAAAGCGGATCGTGAATTTCAAAAAGCTAGCTTGTTAAGTATAGGCATAATCTTTACTACATGGCACACAGGAATGAGAAAATTTATTTTCATTTTATAATGTCCCTCATTTGAATATACAATGGGGAAATGGAGTGAAATTAAAGAAGAATAAACTCATACTCAAATAGGCAGGAGGGCGGTATAAACACTAAGTACCAAAATAACAATTCAAAACCAAAAATGTACTAACACAAAGGTCCCAAATAATAAAAAACATTTACCCCATGGTGAATTTTAAATAATTTTTAAAAATAGTTTAAGGGAACCATGACTTTGTATTTATTTTAAATAATATGATTTATGTTAATAGAAACGATAAAAACAAAAAAACCCAGGAATCGAAAGAAAATTTCATTTAAAAGACGTATTTTGATTTTTCCTTGGTTGGAATATTTTATGTACTACTATATGAGGCGAAGTCCCAAAAATTCAAAATTAACGAAACCCCATTACAAAATCAAATTTTTTGTACTATTGTTAAGCCAGATTTAGTTATTTAGCATTCAATTCTTTATTTTTATCATTTAGAGAATTTGTAAAAGCTTGAAAAAGTCGAAGCCCTTAACCAATTTCGAAGATATGAAAGAAAACCCACAGTCAACCAAGAATCTTTAATGTCTTTAATTTTAATATACCCAAATAGGAAATTAAAGCCCGGATAACACTAGATTTTCATCAATTCATTTTCAGCATAATCAATCTTCGCACAATCGTGCTCGACTATTTCTAGCACGACGACGTTCGTAATAAAAATAGTCGCATTCGTTTTTCAAAAAACTAACAATAGCATTCATAGATGGACGATCATTTAGATCAACTTGTACGCACGCCTGAAATTTTTGTGATTATTTATATAAATACATTCAATTTGTAATTCTTAATTAATCGTCGAATAGTTATTATTGTGATTTTAGAATAAAGAAACTAATTCAGTATCGGGATTGTGCAAAAAATATACACCTTGATCCCAACTAATCATTTTAATTTCATCAGTAATTAATCATTTAAATCATCAGTAATTAATCATTTAATAGAGAAATAACTAAGGATCAAATATAATTAAGAATTTCCGAAGTTCCCACCCCTTGTTTGGAGACAGAGT